ATTGCTGTTGTGGGGGCTTAGGATAGTTCTTGCTTGTTTGAGGGAGTGTTGGAGCCATTTCCTTAGTGGTGGGTGCTCCAAGAAACTACCTTTGGAGAGAAAGGACGAAGCTTTGATCACAAATTCGTGGCCTTGAGTAATCTGACCTTTGGAGCTGCAAAGTGAGCTCCAAGAGCATCCTCTTGTTCTGTTTTGAGCCTTGGGTATGTTCTTGAACCTTTGATCATGAGTTTTATGGATAAAAGTTGAGTCTTGGCATGTAAAAAGAGATGTATAGGTAACCACCACGAACATGAACCTAAATCTGTATAAAAATGCATGCTTGGACGTTAATATGGGTTAAAAGTTGAACCTTTGAGTGATATCTTTGCGAAGAAGCAAAACTGCATTCTGTCACGAAATATCCGGATATTGATATCCGGATTCGGATATTGATATCTGGATATGGGGTTGGAGATATCCGGATATGGTCCCGACAAATATCTGGATATTCTGGGAATTTCGAGAGTGTCTTTGTTCTGTTCAGACAGAATGGTACTTTTGGGTTTGTGGACCCATGATTGGTTATGTTGAACCTCTGTAATAATTAACTATGTCAGAATCAAAGGGATTAAGGGCTTATGGCTTTGTGAGAAGCCTAAAGACATTAAACGAAGAAGAAAATGTTGTTGTTATGTCTTGAGCTATTAAATGATGAATGTTGATATGATTGCTGGTCTAAAACAGATTGTGATTGTGCTATTTGTGGACTTTGAGTTAGTGTGAATCTTGGCTTGGATTGATTGCTTAGAGTTATACTTTCGTGTCCTCGAATTAATCGGTTGCTTGTTCCACCGACCTCCATGGGGGGGTGGTTATATGCATGCATGCTTTTATGAAAGATGAAATATGCATTGATATATGCCTAAGACATGTTGATATAATTGTTGATGTAATGTATGAATATGATGTTAGTACTTGCACGATCAGGAAGTAACCCTGGTGTGCAAGGCATGAGGCAGCAACCCTCATGTTGGTAGATAACAGACGTGTATAAACCCTATCCTGTTTCCTGGCCAGTCGAACCGCACTTGCATACATCACATGATTAATGAGTGGTAGTATATAGCTCGTTGAGCAAGAGATTATACTGTCATGATATAAATGCCTTAACATGAACATGCATTGAAATTACTGTTTTTGAAGTTATATTATACTTGTAAATGAGCTTGGGGTAGAAGAGTCCTTGAGGACCCCTTGTCTTACTGAGATTTCTTTTTAGAGATCTCACCCCACGTTTGGGGCACATTTTCAGGTTCAGGTACCTCGGGGGTTGAGACCTCGGGCGGCAGGAGGCCAGAGCTGAGTTGAGATATTTGATATTGTGCTGATATGTCTGGCTGTTATTTTGTTTTATTGTCTTATATTATTATATGATTTGAGACTATGTTGGGCTTTGTTTCCTTATTTGGTGAGCATGGAGATTGTCTATGCCACATTGATGTTGGTTATGCTTTTTTGTTTGAGTCGCATAATTGTATCAGGATATTGTCCGGTCTACGTGTTGTAGTTTCGTGACTAGAAACACACTTATTTATATTATGAGGTTATTCAGTGTAGATAGCTGTTTATTTGCAATTACATACAGGAAGTGTTTTGAAAAATGATTAATGAATCAATTTGGTTAATAATAATGACGTCATAATGGAAAAGAAAAAGTTACTTTCGCATTTTTAATTAAGCGCTGCTTAATACGATGATACGATAACAAATCGGGTATACACGGGGTGTTACAATCAACCTCTCACCATCACGACCACTTGAAGGAGAAATTCCAGAAGAAGTCTAGACAGGTCGAAAAGCGGCCTATAATCAACTGAAGGTGTTTGGATGCGAGCTTTCATGCATATCCCTAAAGATGAAAGGGCAAAACTCGATGCGAAGACTAAGGAATGTATTTATCCTTGTTCGCCGAGATGTGACTTCGAGTTCCAACTTTGGGATCCAATTAATAAGAAGATAGTGAGAAGCCGAGATATGATCTTTCATGAAGATGAGACCATTCATGACATCTCGAAGCCTAAAGTCCGGGTTACTGTCAGAAGAGAAAAATCCATCCGTCCTGTCTCGAGGCCCAAAGTCCGGGTTACTCGGAATCAAGATTATCCGAGATTGACAAAAGAAGCTACTGTGGCTGAGTTAAGAAAAGTATATTGAGAAGATTCTGAAGAGATTCAGCATGGACAAAGTCAAAACAGTGAGCACCCCCTAGCCGGACACATAAAGTTGAACCAGAAGCAATGTCCGAGATCTGATGAAGACAAAGATGAGATGCTGAAGATCCCATACCAATCCGCTGTCGGAAGCTTGATGTATGCAATGGTTTGCACTAGACCCGACTTGGCATATGCTGTTGGAATGGTAAGTCGGTATCTATCGAACCCTGGCAAAGAGAACTGGGAAGCAGTGAAGTAGATCTTCAAATACCTCTGAGGTACGACCAACTTATGCCTCCGATTTGGAGAAGGCAAAGCCGAGTTGCAAGGCTACTCGGATACTGATTTAGGGGGAGATTTCGACTCGAGTAAGTCGACGACGGGATACGTTATGAGATTTGCCGGAGGAGCTGTCTCTTGGCAATCAAGACTTCAGAAGTGTGTTGCACTATCGACAACCGAGGCTGAGTACATTGTCGCGACTGAGGCAAGCAAAGAGATGCTGTGGATGAAGAAGTTCCTCATGGAACTCGGCCATGATCAAGACAAGTACGAGCTGGGTTGTGACAATCAAAGCGCAATCCATCTTACGAACAATTCGACCTATCACTCCCGCACTAAGTACATTGATGTGAGATATCATTGGATCCAGGATGTGGTTGAAGGTGGAGAGCTCAAACTCGTCAAAGTGCACACTGACCAAAATTGGTCCGACATGATGACAAAGCCGGTTCCAGCAAGGAAATTTGAAGACTGCTGTGAAAGAGATGGGTTGATGCTGAAGTCGACGCATTGAAGTCGGAGGGGGAGATTTGTTGGGCTTCCTCCTTTCAATGCTAAGTCCAAGCCCATTGAGGGGTTTCCTAAAAACCCTAAACCCTAGATTCCACATCCTCTATATATTCATTAGTTGTGGGTGGAGGCTAGGTTAGAAAAAAAGATTGAAGAGAAAATTATTTAAGAGAATTGTGAGCAAAGCTTTGAGCTTTGTATTTGAGAGATCTCTAGAGAGAGTTCGAGTGAAACATCTCTAGAGAAGTTTAATTATTACCATTGTTGGAGAGGTTGTGTTAACCACCACTTTTGTGAATTTTGATTCTTTGTATCCATTATTATCATAGTGGACGTTTGAATTGGACTACGTCCCGTGGATTTTTACTTCTTCATTGGAGAAGGTTTTTCCACGTTAAAATTTGCTTGTGTTCTCTCTCTCTCCCTTTTGTGTTTTTTATTTTTTCCGCTGCGCTGCCCGACTTGGTGATTTAGGCCGAGTTCATATTGTCGAGATCCGAGATCCAGGATCTTGTTGACTGACTTTCGCGAAAAGGCTTGTGAGCCGAGTTGAGAGAACCGAGTTTCCAACACAACCTTCCATTTTGTACACACATTTTAAAGTTTTTAGGGAAAAGTTCATCAATGCCTTTGTGATTTGCTTCAGAATCACCTATGTCCCTGTGATTTTTTTTTATCACGTATGTCCTTGAGGTTTGTAAAAAATAAAAAATCACAGGGGCATATGTGATTAAAAAATATACCCTTTTGCAAACCATAGAGGTATATGTGATAAAAAACAAAACCATAGGGGCATACGTGATTTTGGCGTAAACCTTAGGGGCATTGGTGAACTTTTTCCAAGTTTTTATTATGTCATAAATAAAAAAATTTCTTTAACAATAAATATAAAATTTAAAATGCATCTTCATAAAGTTGATCTTATCTCAAAAAAATAACATAAAAATTCGTTATATAAATCATGTCTTAGGTTTTTGAAGAAAAGATTTAAGAGTTAATCACCTCCATATATCTTAGAGGTTTATATATATGAAAAAATAAAATAAAAAAGAGCCTTCGAACCAAATGGCTACATACATATATAAAATATAAAATCTTAAAAAGCATAAACATGCATAAATTACGTACACTATATAATTGTATTATTCTAATTCCTTTCTAAATGTTATATAAATATATATATATATATATATATATATATATATATATATATATATATATAGCCTTAAGTTCATAAACAAGTGCCCAAAATACATATTATATAGTCATTTCTGATAAGTGAGACGATACTATTACGTAGAGATAGTAGGGCATGTGGATATAAAAATGGAAAAAATTGTATGTTAAATTTCTGAATAATCCCTAGCTATGATTTATAAGTTCAGGTAACCCACACAATATATACTACATTATCTTATTTCTTTTCATAATCCCATTTCCATATTTGAATACGAGATTTTAAAAATAAAGTATTTAGTATCAGTCACATATTTATTTAGGAATACTATATTAATTAAGTCACTATTGAATTAAACTAATAGTAAAAGGTTTAACTATTGTATCAAAGTCGTAAAATAAAAATAAACTTTATACGATTATTACAACAATAAACTTATAATAATTTTATTCAACCAAAAAAAATTCCAGTGACACATATTTCAGAGAGATGAAAAATAAAATAAAATTGTATCATAATTATTACAAACTTTTTATTAAGCCAAGAAGTAGGTGCAAGCATAACTCTACCTAGCAATCAACAACCAAAACATTTCTATTGATAGAGAAGCAACGAGAGTTAGTTGCCTGAAGAAACCAACCTACAAAGGAAGAAAATACTAGCCGCATACAGGAGACGACAAAAACACCCAGAAAAGAGACCAAAAACACAAAAATCTGGCATGGAAGAAGAAGAAGAATACAGAATTTATTAAACAAAACAAAAAACAAATTTCTAATATGCTGGAAAGGGGGGAAAGGAGGTAGAAGGGAAAAGGAATAAGCATTTGACCTTGGATATATTTTTACTATGTTTATTTTCTTAGATAAGTGCTCAAAAGTCACATTCAACTCTAATTATTTGGTAGATAGCATAATTAACATCATAGATGTACTTATAATGTACAGTTTTTGCTTGTAGAGTAAGAGGGAATTACCTTCACACTCTGGACTTAGAAAACTAGTTCCATTTGCAACAATAAAAAAAAAAAAAAAAAAAAGACCCCAGATGGCAACGTACAATTTTCTGGTTTTCTAAAATAACACTGATGTACTTTCCTCCAGTGACATGTTCAATAAATCTTCATGACATTGATTGGCCCCATCATCAAAAAGCCACTTTTCCAGAAACATGAGAGGAGCTTGCGTGTCCATGCTTGGCTTGCTTTCATCTTGGAAGTTGCCAGCATCGGCACTTGTCAAGTTGGTGTTGTTTTCTTCAAACGACACAGATTGAGAATAACCAGAGTTGAAGGACTTGAAGCTCAACAAAGAGTCAAGAGCATGATGATCTTGTTGTGTGCAAGTGAGAGTGCTCTGTGCTCCTTCACTAGAACTTGACCCTGTGGTTACCATGTTGTTGCTAAAGGAATTTCCTGAATTTGTTTCACCAGAGTTTGGGGATTTCTTCATCCAGTTTTCGAGCAATCGGGCTATGTTTTCAGTGCTTGAGGCGTATAGAGATGATGTTTGGTTTGGTGTTGTTGTAGCCTTGGTTGCAGGGTAATTATTGGTTATCTCAGGTAAAATATGACTTGGCTTGTCAAGGGAAAGTGCCTCACATAAGGCTTGTTTGGCCATGTGGATATCTGTTTGGAGCCTTCTCTCCCATTGACCTTTTGACTGTGAAAAAGAGTTTCCTCCTTTGTCATGATCATCCTCATTCCCATTTTGCATCTTCTTCAGCTTTTTCTTGAGATGGGTATTCCAATAGTTTTTTATGTCATTGTCTGTCCTTTGTGGAAGATAGGAAGCTATGGCAGCCCATCTACACCCATCATGTATATAGATCATGTCAGAAACTTGGAAATTATTGTTTAACAAATTAAAGCAAACACAGACCAAAATAACTTCATGATCCTACCTCTTGTCAGCGTTAGCATAGGGGTATATTAAATAGTAAATCATATCTCAATTTGGAAATCTTGTGATGAAACTTTTATTTTTTAAAATTAAACACATTAATGTTTAACATGGCCAATATTAAAAAATTTCTGAACTAAAGTGAAATTTGTGTATCAACATAAAATTATAACCCAATGTTTTCCTTTTAAAAATGAGTTTAAGGATTTACTCCTAAATCATTTAGGCTTTAAAATAACAAATATTGCAGAAGGAGAAAGAAAAGATGAGAGTAACTAGTACCTGTTACCCAAAAGCGCTTGGAGGTGGATTATCATTTTCTCTTCATGATCAGTGAAATTACCTCGTTTGATACCAGGTCGAAGATAGTTAGTCCATCTGAGTCTGCAGCTTTTACTGCATCTCATCAAACCTGAAAAAAATAAAAAATCAGTTACTAATCCCTCACCAAGAGAAGAGTACATCAGCGTATGTATTTTATATATACGTTTTTTTAGACCTATTTAATAATCAAACAGAGCTTGCACAGAAATTAAAACCTGAATAAATGAAAAAAAATAAAAAAAATCATATGTTGCTAAAAAGTTTTACCTGTATTAGTAGGAACTGATCTCCAATTCCCAGGTCCATGTTCTTGAATGTAAGAGACCAAGATGATGTCCTCTTCTGGAGTCCAAGGCCCTTTTTTAATGCCAATTTTGTCACAGCAAGGTGGTCTTCCCATTTTATATCAAAAGAAATGATATTCCTAAATTCTCTTTCACCTTCTCCTTCTTCTGAGTTCTGAGAATTCCCTTTTGATAAGACTCTCTCTTTCTTTCTTCCTTAGAAAGGCAGAGACAAGCTTCTACAACTGGGACTGCTTTGTCTATTTTATTAGGCACATATATATAGAAAGAGAAGAGAAGGAGAACAAGCCCCGTTAATCGCTGACCAAAGGAAAATGAGGTAAAATAAAAAAGAGTCAAAATGGACAGCAAGAGCATTTACTCGTGCATTGCAAAAGTCAGCTATACATCCATCCCTCTCTCTCTCTTTCCTTCTCAATAAACATTACACGCAAATCCGTGCCGCAATCAATATGGGAACAGTGGAAACACCAAGAAAAAAGGGGGGAAATTGTACTTTAGTACTGTTGTTTTCATATTTTGCTTACGTAACATGAATGAAGGAGTTGAAATTTTTCTACTTTGTTGTTTATCTAGAATAGTGTATTCTTAAAAAATATTTATTTTTATGACCACTATAAAAATCAAAAATAACATTTTTTTTAAGTAATTAAAAGTGGCTATTTGAATTCAGGATCAAAATATATATAGGGTTTTGCGGATCTACAGTAACTACATCTAAGGATTGGCGTCGTCACATAAAATTGCATCATTTTATAGTTTGAAAGCATTAAATATGTGAAATCATAACTATATAAAAGTGAAAATAAATATAAAAAAATTAAATATGAGAAATCATAATCGTACAAAGGTAAAAATAAATATAATATTTCTATTTTCTACAATTAATTTTAAACGCAAACTTTCTTTATCCCACCTAAAATAACATAGATTTTAGGTGACTACACCAATACTTATATGCAATCACATTACAAATCATTTTGCAATATATATATATATATATATATATATATATATATATATATATATATATATATATATATATAATTTCTATTAGGAATCAAATTATTAATTAATTATTAATTCACAATAAATGATAATCGTTTATTGACGAAAATCAACTGATAGGATTTGGTGTCAAATTTTAAAATTTGACACTGGTATCAAAAAATCCTACCTCATATATATATACCGATTTATTAATTATAGATTGGATATATTATAGAAGGCAGTTCTTTCAAGATCATTTTATCCATTCCCGAGATTTAAAATTTGATTCTCAAAAGAAAAGTATTAAGAGATCTTTAACTTTCACCACATCATGACAGTAGTTAGAAGTGTAAATTGGCTATGCTCGGCTAGGCTTTGGCTTAAATAGGTTAGGTCTGTGTAAAAAATATTGGATCTGGTCTAACCTGTTAGTCTGTGTTGTCCCCAAATTACAAGTCTGGTCTAATTTATATTTAAAAAATAAAAGGCTTAGTATAGGCCTATTAGCCTATTTAAGCCTATTAAACATTCAACAATTAAAAAAATAATTAAAATAATATTACTTTATTATTCAAAATTATTAAAATAATAATTTATTTATTTTATTTAAAATAAACAATATGATATAAGCCGGCCTGTAGACTTATAGGCCCGACATGTACAAAAAAAGTTTATGGCATGTTTTCTAAATAGGTTTTTTTGAAAGCCTAAGCCCGCTTTATTTTACTATTTGTAATATGTCAAATTTGGCCTCATATAGGCTGAGCCGTATGTTCCTGTAGGTTGGCCTAACCTATTTACATCCCTAATAGTAGTTAAGAAAATAATTTATGTATTTAAAAAATAATATGTAAAGAAAATAATACATTTGTTACTAACGTAAATATTAAACCTCATACCTTGTGACTTGTACTTTGTCGTTGTGGAGCCCATATTAATTTATTTTTAAAAATAATCATTTTATTGAAATTTCATAAAAATATAATAAAAAAAGGATTTTATTTTTTTATTTTTTCAAAATAACCATACAAACAATTAGTGATAATATTGGCCTTTGTATATAGCAAGTCGTTTTCCACGTAATTAAACCTCAGGCCTTGTGATGTGTGCTTCATCATTTTGGGGCTCATAAGATTTTCAGCAACTCCTTCGACTCCACCGCACATTGTGGTCACACGGACAGCATGATTACGGAAGTGAGATATTAACAATATATATTTTTTGCTCTTTTTTATTAAACTTTTTGTTATTGAATAAAATTACATGTTAATTTCATTAAATATTTTGAATTTTTTATTTAGGAAACTAATATAATTTTTTTTCCATAATAAAAAATACAATATAATACATTATCGACACTTCTCCGTCAAGGAATAGGACATCTCCGTCCCCTTGTCGGCCATTTAAGTGGAAGTAAAGGCGTTGGTTTTGGTTTAGATAGTAAAGGCGTGGCTATTAGTCAGCTTTTATTATTCTTTTGTCTCGTAAATGTTAATGTAAATTTTAAATGAACTTTATAATTAAATTTTTGTTTTGAATTTTTGTCCGACACAAACACGTAATTGTATTACGTAGCGTACACATAATAATTAAACATTTTATAAGTGGTGAAGTTTTTTTTTTATAGGATAAAGGAAGCTCTCTGTAACATTTCGAGCGCTGACGAGGGTGGGGAGAGATCGCTCGTGCGAAAAGGCATGGACAAGGAGCAGCTCCTAACAGGCTTCCTGCGGGGGTTACATGCATGAATGAATCGAATCGACACCCGAAATAGAGGAATTCCAGAGACTGTGCAGGTGTGAGACTGCACAGTTTGGGATAGCTTATAAGAATTAATTGGTACAACCTATACTAACAAGATGCATCTACTTTTTGGTAGCCCGGAACGGAAGAGCTCCATAGTTAAGTGTGCTTGACTTGGAGCAATTCTGGGATGGGTGACCTTCTGGGAAGTTTTACCGGGAAGTGTGCGAGTGAGGAAAAAGCAAACTGAAAAGTCTCGTGTTAGTATGTGGGGATAGTCATTGATTCTTGAAGCGGCCTCTCTTCCAATACAGTGTGGTTCGAGGACGAACCAGGTGGAAGCTGGTGGGCATGTAACATTCTAAGTGTTGACGAGGGCGGGGAGTGATCGCCCGTGCGAAAGGGCATGGACAAGGAGCGGCTCCTAACAGGCTTTCAGCGGGGGGTTACATGCATGAATAAATCGAATCGACATCCGAAAGAGAGGAATTCCAGAGACTGTGCAGGTGTGAGACTGCGCAGTTTGGGATAGCTTATAAGAATTAATTCGTACTACCTATACTAACAAGATGCATATATTTTTTGGTAGCCCGGAACGGAAGAACTCTATAGTTAAGCGTGCTTGACTTGGAGCAATTCTAGGATGGGTGACCTCCTGAGAAGTTTTATCGGGAAGTGTACGACTGAGGAAAAATCACACTGAAAAGTCTCGTGTTAATATGTGGGGATAGTCATTGATTCTTGAAGCGGCCGGGCGTTACACTCTCAAACAATTATTGAAAGAAATTTAAGTGTTGATGACCACCCCATATGTATAAGTCAGATTTATTGCTTACAGTAGAACCAATGTGTTTAAATAGAACCCAATCAGATATCATTATCATTTGTAATGCCCTTTTTCAGTCTCAATAAGTTTCAAATAAGCCTAACCAATAATGCTAAATAGTACTTTAAGGTAGTGTATGAGTGTATCTATACTTTTGCATATTCATGTAACAAAGTAGGTATTATCAACACGACCATGATAAACTAGAAAAGAGAAATTATTAAAGATTTAATTAAAAGATAAAATAGGTAAGTGATTTGTAACTTAATATTAAATGGAGTCTATAATAGACTATAAGGGGATGGCAAACAACAATTTATTTCTTCTCGCTACATTTTATTTAAATCAACACAAGGTACCTATGTCCAGTTTATTATGCATGTAGTATATCACAATGACCAATCTAATTAAGATAATCACGCAATACATGAAGAAAAAAAATTTAAATGTTGTGCTTGACATGAAGGTAATAATAAAGATGGTCTAACATGCACTTGCAAAAGTGATAAAACCATTCCCGCTATGCACTTTTGATCCTTGCTGCTGTTGAAAAAAAATGAAAAACAATCTATAAATAAAAGTGTCAAATAAATAAGCATGTATATACCATGCATAAAAGTGTAGTTCATTCGTATAGGTACAAACTGCAATCAACAATGTGCTATTTGTAAATCAACACAGTACACACAAAATATATCAATGTCATATTAATTTTACATGGATCAATATCAAAAGGACGACAATAATATCATATCCTTCTAGACAGAACCAAATGAACTACACAATCTTTGAAATACTTCCTTGCAGACTATGTTAAAGGTACTATTTATAATACAACCATTATCATCAAGTATTAATAACTTCAATCCCTATTTGCTTTTTACTCTTGATAGTGCCACATATAATTGCCCATGAGGGAATACAGGTCTAGGGAGATAAATTCCAATATGAGAAAGCGATTGTCCTTGACTCTTGTTGATATTCATGGTAAATGAAACGATAAGGGGGGATTGTCTTCTTTAGAAATTTACAGGAAATATATGACTTGATGTCTCATTGTCATTCTAGGGATTAACACAGTTTCTCCTATTTTGCTTCCTATAAGAATAGTTGCCTCACCAACATGATTGCCAATCTTGTAATAAGCAATCTTGTGTCGTTGCATAAACCTCTTGACTGATCAATATTTCTTAAAGCATAATAGGAACTTTAACCTTCAAAATTAATTTATGACCAAGAAGCCCTGAACATGAGAAGGTATTTAAGATTTCAGGTGACAATTCATCATCCTCGAGTGAAGAATTACCATCTTGCTTCAAAATATTATCTGAACTCAAATATATTTTTCTTCAGTTGGAATCAAAGACATTAGGTGCTCTTTAAGATAGTAACGTATGCCAGTTTAGGAGTCAAAGTGGCACGTTCTTTGAAAAACCTAGGATCTAAAATATGATCCAAGATATTCGGGTATAAAAAATCAATTAAATTTGAGAGTGAATCTTTTGATTCTTTAATCAATATTCCATATGGAATTGTTTTAATATATTCTCTGTAACACCCCGTGTATACCCGGATTGTTATCATATTACAGTATTAAGCGCAACACAATTAAATGCGGAAGCTAACTTTTTCTTTTCAATTATGACGTCATCATT